CTGTAGTCCCAGCTGTTCTGGAGGCTGAGGCAGGAGAATGGCGTGAACCCAGGAGGTGGAGCTTTCAGTGAGCCGAGGTCCTGCCACTGCACTCCTGCCAGGACAAAAAAGAAAAACTCCCAAGAAGAATTAAAAAAAAAAAAAAAAAAAACAAACTGGGAAAAGAGGAGAACTCCCACAACCTGATAAAGCCCATCTAGAGACAGCCATAGCTAACAATCATGCTCAATGGTGAAAGATGAAATGCTTTTACTCTAAGATCAGAAACAAGACAAGAATGTCCACTCACAACACTTCTATTCAATGTTGTATTGGAAGCTCTAGCCAGGGCAATTAGGCAAGAGAAAAAAATTTTAAAAATCCAAATTGTAAAGGAAGATGAAAAGCAGATGGCATTATCTTATATATAGAAAAACCTATGGAATCCATGAAAAAAATCAATTAGAACTAAGGAGTTATTTCAGCTGTGTTGCAGGATATAAGATCAATGTACAAAAATCAAATGTATTTCTATACATTATTAGTAAATGATCTGAAAATAAAATTTAAATACAATTACATTTCAATAGCATTAAAAAGAGTAAAATACTTAGGAATAAATTTAACAGAAGTCCAAGATTTGTACTGTGAAAACTATAAACACATTGTTGAAATAAAGAAGACCTAAATAAATGGAAAGGACATTGATATAAATATAATTTTGTTAAGATGGCAATATTCTCAAATTGATCTATAGATTCAATGATAACCCTCTCAAAATTCTGGCTGCTATTCCTTGGAGAAATTGACTAACAGTTCCTAAAATTCATATGGAAATGTGAGGGATCCAGAATGTCCAAAATAGTTTTGACAAAAAAGTACACAGTTTAGGAACACATCTTGATTTCAAAATTTACTGCATAACAACAGTAACAGACAGCATGGTCCTGACATAGATCAGTGGAATAGAACTGAGCATCTAGAAATAAATCTTAACCTTTATGGTCAATTGATTTTTGACAAGGGTGCAAAGATAATTTAATGTAGGAAAGAATAGTCTTTTCAACAAACGGTGCCAGAACAACTGAATATCCACATAGAAAAGAATGAAATTGTACCTTTTTCTTACACCATATACAAATATTAATTCAAAATGAATCACAGACCTAAATGTTAAGAGCTACAACAATGAAACTCTTCGAAGAAAACATGAGTAAATCTTTGTGACCTTGGGTTAGGCAAAGCATTACTACATATGACACCAAAAGTACAAATGACAAAAGAACAGATTAAAAAATAGATAAATTGGACTTAGAATTTGAAACTTCTGTGCTACAAATAATACCATCAAGAAAGTAAGGGGAAAAAAACAAAAAAAAAGGGGGAGAAAATGTTTGCTAATCGTATATCTGATAAAGGACTTGAATATATAAAGAACTCTTACAATTCAATAATAAAAAGACAACACAATTTAAAAAGAGACAAAGAATCCTAATAGACATTCAAGTATATATGCAATGGCCAATAAGCACATAAAAAGATGCCCAACATCAGTAACTGTCAGGGAAATGCAAATTAAAATCACCATGAGATACAGCTTCACAGGGAGTAGGGTCTATAATTAAAAAGACAGATAATGACAAATGTTGGTGAGGATGTGGAAGAGCCTGAGCCTTCACAATTTGCTGGTGAGAATGCAAAATGGTGTGGCCACTTTGGAAAACAGTTTGGCAGCTTTTCAAAATGTTAAACATAGAGTTACCATTTAACCTAGCAATTCCTCTCCTAGATACATACCCAAAAGAAATTAAAACATATGTTTCCACAAAAATTTGTGCATAAATGTTCATAGCAGTATTATTCATAATAGCCAGAGGGTAGAAACAACACAAATGTCCATCAATTGATGAATGGATAAAAAAAATATGTTGAGGGAGGTTCCAAGATGGCCAAATAGTAACAGCTCCAGTCTACAGCTCCCAGCGTGAGCGATACAGAAGATGTGTGATTTCTGCATTTCCAACTGCATTTCCAACTGAGGTACCAGGTTTATCTCACTGGGGTTTGTTGGACAGTGGGTGCAGCCCACGGAGTGTGAGCCGAAGCATCGCCTCACCCGGGAAGTGCAAGGGGTCAGGGAATTCCCTTTCCTAGCCAAAGGAAGCCGTGACAGATGGTACCTGGAAAATCAGGACACTCCCACCCTAATACTGCACTTTT